CATCTGTTTAAATTATATTAAGCCTTAAAGTTCTGCATAATTAAGGGCGTGGCCACTTGAGTGACAGGTGGATTGCCGCTGCTGTCACCACTGTCGAACTAGGTGGGCGTGGCTTCAGCAACCTGCTCCCGCCTCTTTACCCATTTTCAATGATCCAGGAGTGACGCGCTGCCAAGATGGCGACGACCCGCTCCGCCCACTTTGAGCTTCAAAAACTCTCTTCAGGAACCTACGGGTGCCGTCACGGACACTACATCCATGTTTTTATACAGTCTATGATTTAAACTCGTTGAATCACATGAAACATCACCAGGCCGTTGGCGCCCTCTGCAGGTATTTATGCCAATTATTGCCTCAGCGTTACTTTATATATAAATATAGTCATATTAAAGCCTGTTTTCCCACTTAGTTCTATTTCTATTACTAAAAAATATCAGATTACTCGCTTGTCAAAATAATCAGATTACTTGATTAGCAAAATAATCATTAGTTAAGCACTAGATCAGTTAAAACGTTTCAAAATACAACTGCATTGTTTTACTTTTTGTGATTTTGTCATTTTAAAATTTCTTAAAGTATTAAAACATTGTCTCGTTCTAGTGAACCAAGTATCTGTACTTTGTCTCATCTTGTGAGCTAAGTGTATTGTCACACACCCCTAGTGTCTATGAGTGTGATAAAGCTCATAATTTTCCAATGGACATAGCTTTTCATTCTTCAGGTCAATCATATATTCATGAAAAAAAATGAACAGAATGAACAGAAAAGTGACATTTGTGTTATCCTGATCATCCAGAGAGATTTGATGAGTGTCCTTAGGTTCTGTGTAGAGAGAGTCTGTCTGGATGATGACAGACAGTAAACAAAACAGTAGATACTTCGAGAACACAACTAACTTAAATATAAAATTACTTACAAAGCCAGTTATTCGGGTGTCATCAACAGCGTAAAAATGTGTCAAAAACGGCCGTCAGTTACAGCCTCCCAACGGCAGGCGACGCGGTGACGTCACGGCCCTTCCGAACGTCTCCAGAGCGCATGCGCAGCTCACGCACCGGCGGAAGTCGCCACGGTTCAGTTTCCCGTCGCTTCATCTTGAACCGAAACACAACAAACCCATGCAAATATAATGGTCGCGCCCGTTTAAAAGCGAGTTATTTTGTTTCGCGCCTCAGCGTCATGTGTTACAAATGAATTCCTGGTCTAATACTAGCGAGTAATCCTAAGAAAAATGGACATTTCCACGCCACCTGAAGGTAACTACGCTTGAGTGATTGTACTGCAGCGCGAGCGCGAATAAACTGATATTATACATTACAAAACCTCACTAACAAACACAATTATCACATAAAATTAGCATTTATGTGCTGGTTATTTAGTGTGGGTGGGATGCTAAATCGCTTGCAGGTGTATTCACTGACTTTCTGTGTATATAAAGCTTTTACAGTAGATGTCAATGGTTGTTTTTTTTCCTGTTTTTATTATTATGTATTTACTGTTTTGTCTTCTGGTTATGTATGTATTTTATTGCTTTGACTGTATCCCCTGTGAATGTTATATCTTTTCAGATTGTTTTTGTTAATGTTATACGTACTGTACTGTGAAAGTTATATCTTTAATAAAAAAAAATAAATAAAAAAAAGTAGATGTCAACATTACTAGTACACATATATTTACTGCACTAAAACTGGACAGTTGATATTAGCGATTGCCGTCATCACCAAAAGATAGGAAAGAAAATGGCTGAAAGCTTCTTACACTTTAAAAAGATGGCAAATATTTAAAAATAACTTAAAATAACTCCTTAAATTCATTAAAATAATACTATATGAATGGTTATATTTAAAAAATATACTATGTATTTATTTTGTGTGTTGTATTTTTTTCTCTCTCTTTGATTTTTCCCATCAGATCAAGAGCTGCGTAATGTCATCGATAAACTGGCCCAGTTTGTCGCCCGAAATGGACCCGAGTTTGAGAAGATGACCATGGAGAAGCAGAAGGACAACCTCAAGTTCTCCTTTCTGTTCGGAGGGGAATATTTTGGCTACTACAAATACAAACTGGCCATCGAACAGCAGCAGCGTACGTGAATGAACCGCTGCAGAGCATAAGTCGCATTTTATTTCAACTAGGGATATGCCGGGTTCAAATTTTCATGTTGCGATTAATTGCTAATGATTTTATCACGGTGTACGGTATTATCACGATATTGAAATTTAGTTTAAAAAAAAGTGCTGTCATAATACAGTATAACAGGTTTAATAACGTTTTTCTTATAACAAAAATAACTGAACATTTAAATGCAATAAAGCAATACAGAAAAATGTATAAAGTTAAAAGTTTTACACAGATTAAAGTGCAAAAGAACTATAAAGACCAATAGGTATCACTTTACAATAAGACCTCATTAGTTAACCTTAGTTAATGCATTAACATTCACAATGAGCAATATCTACATTTGCTACAGAAGTTATTAATCTTTGTTAAAAAAATACAAGTCTTAGTTCATGTTAGCTCATTAAATAACACAGTTGCATTCGATTTTTTACTTTGAATTTAACAACGTGTTATTAAATATTGGAATACCTAAGATTAATTAATGTTCAGAAGAATTTTTAATTGGCAGTTTGTTAACTAATGAATTAACTAATGTTAATTAATGAAGCCCTAATGTAAAGTGTGACCAAACAA